TCGCACAGTGATAGCAGGGACATCCACTCCTCAAACAATCGTCCCAGACACCAAAGTATAACATACTGCCCCCAGCCCCCAACCACTAAACTCTGGAACAGTCTAGACACAAGCTGCTCCACCAACCAGCACATCTCACCCTCTCCTCTCTCCTTCTCTCCTTCTCTCCTTCTCAGAAAAACTCCTTCTCATCCCCTACCATCATTGTCTAAGCCACCAAAGTATTTTTCCCACGCTTTATTTTTCTCTGTCCTGTTTGTAGCCAGGCAGAAGGAGGAGGAGGAAAAGATGGGGGGGGAGAAAAAGGGGGTAACATAGGAGAAAGGGGGGGGCTGTGTATGGCACTGATGGGGTCTCCATGGCAACCTCCCATTGGCATGCCCCTGATTGGAGTATGTGGTGGCTAATTATTCACTGCATATACTTAAAAAAAAAAACAATAAAGTAGGACGTATTGAAATGCAGAGCCAAGCATGGCATGATGTGTGATTAACATATTAGAGCAGCACTGATTGTGACACCTCAGTTCTATCTAATGGGAAACCAAACCAGCAAAAAGATTATATTACATATATATGTATATATACATATGAAAGTGTCTTTTTATTTCAAAATGTTATTACAGTACAGATTTGGCTTCTAGAGTTTAGTTCAGCAAATTTGCTGTTGAAATATAAGTTAAAATTCCGTTTAAATTTCCATGTGAAAATCGACACAGACTTGACATTTGAAGCTGCTCATGATGGCATGGCGGTGGCGTTAGGGCATGTGTGTGGACGGAGGCGCTGCCATGTGAAAGGGAGCAGTGGGATATTGGTGTTAGTGTGTGTGTGTGCATGCGTGTGATTTAGTGTGTGTGTGTAAGGATGGAGGCCTTTAACAATGGCTGGCATTGTTTACCAATCTCCCTCGTCCATTAATCAGGACGATCCGGCTCTAATTGGCGTTTTGGTTAAGCTGGTCTCCAGACCCTGTTCCCTCCACTGGCCTAAATAATGGCGTTACGCCACAAGTGCCGCCACACACTGGGGAGGACAATGTGCCGCTTGTCTGAGGGCCCAGGACGGGGATCCCCACCCTCTCCTCTTCCCGTCTTTTCTTAGCGCCCCCTGCGCCCCCAAAACAAACCTCACACAGGAACACAAAGAAGTCCTCTCACTATTGAGATCTCACTGTCGCAGGCTCCCTCTCCTTGTCTGCCTGTCTCCCCCCTCTGTCCCCCCCTCTGTCCCCCCATCACACCCTCCAGCCTCCTTTGACTTCTTTTTCTCACTACACTTTTCTCTTCATTCATGATGGCAGGATTTCTTACTGTTAAGAGTGTAGGTCAGAAAATCACACCAACTTCTACAGTGATCCTGCACAGTAACATCTGTCTGATAAACAGTGACCACTGTAACAGTAAAATGATTCATTAATGAATCCACATTTTCATTAATTTAAAAGGTTTAAAAGCCAATATATGACATGAATTAGCAAATCATTTAGTCATTCAATTTGTTAAATACATTTGTTTGAATTTACTACTTCTGTATGAAATGTATCCTTGACTATAAGTACAGTGTCTGATTCAATTCAATTCAAATCCTACTCTGGCTTCAGTGGCTCAGTGACACTTTTTTAACCCAATTGTTTGACGTCTTAATCTCAAAAGGATCAGAAAGCTAAACAATGACAACAATTCATTTCTGAATAATTTCCATCTTAACATATTGGAAAACAGTTGGTGGCCTTCAGTTATTATTACAACACAAAGAGGATTCAGATTGTTGACTGTGAACTACTTTAAAAACAGTAGTTTTGGGGGGTCTTGCCATCACTGGTTGTCTGCTGTCGGCATGGAAATGCAAATAATTATTCTGTAGACAACAAACCTCCGTATTGACTGAACTGCGACTCCTAAAAGCCTCAGTGAAATATATTATATTCCATTTGTGTCAATACAAATCAAACTTGAAGTCATTCTCCCACATCGAAGTTTAAAAATTGCGAACTTCAGATGATGCCACCAGTCGTTGCAACCTATTTTCGGTGAAATCCCGGAAGGGCATTAAACTGTACATGTGTGAGGGAGAAATGTGTGATAACAAGAGGAGATTTATGAAGACTGCTGTGTTGCTAATTATGGCTTCTTGTGGATGTCATCCAGCATGTAGGCGTTTTTCTTTCTATTTTTTTCAAATCATCGAACAAAGCTGTCTGCATCGGCCATGTGGCATAAAAAAACCATACGCTTGCTCTACATGCAGTAGCAGTGTCTTAGTAATTAAAAACCCTCAAAATGATCTAATTAACGTCACAGGAATAAAGCGATTAAGAGAGGATTTTTTTTTGTAGCATTAACGCAAATTCACAAAATGGTCGACCGTCTGCGTCCGCGGCGAGACGAAGGGCGAGGCAGGAAAAAGAGGCACGGGAAGCGCAGCTGCCCTTAAAAATGCCAGCTTGTCAGCCCTCAAAAGGCACTGACTCCACGGTTTCCTCCTATCTCATCCCTTCCTGCGTGTCTCTCGGGGCGATCTCTGCAATTAACACACTGGCAGTAATTAACACTGTCTTGAGGCGACCAATGGCGCAGAAAGGATAGCAGCCAACATGCAGTGGGGGGAAGGAGCAGCAACGACTATATATCAACGAACGTTTCCCCCTATTTTTACAGCTGCCATTTTGTGCCAGTCTTTACACCTAAGATGGTGGCAGGACTGTGACTTGCCATGTGGGAGAGGAGGACAAACTGGCAAGGGAGGGGTCGGAGGAGAGGAGGATTATGGGATTGAGGAGGGAGTCTCTTATTTTCTGTCAGTGAATTGCTGAACAGTTTATCAGGACGGTAAAAAATAAGGCAGAGAGACGGACAAGAGACGTGTTGGTCAGAGTGTTGTCCTACACTTGGAGAAGGAATTGTGTCACATGCAGACGAGACAAACACACACATGGTCAGGGAGGACAAGGACAGTGTTGTGGGTCGTAACACCCTCTGATGGTCTGTTTGTGGGGAAAAAAAATAGTGTAATTTACATGTAATTAATATACGCTGCACACATTTAAGAGCACACATGTGCCCTGGCATGAACACACACACACACACACACACAAACAACCAACACAGCCGTGCTCATGGTATGGTCTGCCCCTGAGCATGCAAATGACATTCATTATGCAAATGCATACAAATCAGAACCAACCATCTGAGAATCTGGGCTGGGAAAAAAAGAGAAAAGAATAAAATTAGAAGAATGAGTAGAAAATGGGCGGAAAGAAATAAATAAGAGCCAAAGTGTTGATTAAACGCGGAGAAAGTATGAGATAGATGTAAATGGGAAAACGGTTTATAATTAGCTTCATTATGACGTAGACATTGTTTGGCTTCTGTAAAATGCTCAGGAAACAAAACAAAACAGGAGAAAATCAGTAAAATAGAGTCCAGATTCAAAAATGACCCTGCCTGTTTAAGACGAGGTTTTGGTCGTTGTCAGAAAAAAAAAATTTTGTTTATTTTTTTTTTATATATATACACACATATGTGTATATAGTTTTGTTTTTTTTTATATATACACACATATGTGTATATACTTCCTGTCACAGCCTCTGTGATGTCACACTGTCATCTAAAGACAAAGTCTATTGAGAGGAGAAACTGCAGAAGAGCAACCACTGGAGTGGAGATAAGCCCCATATAAAAACAAAGAGCCGCTAATTGACTCTCGAGGTGTTTCTTTGTTTTGGTTCCCTCACAGCCTCTGCCTCAGTACGACGCTGATCAGTCTGTTGAGTTGAAAATGAACGTCTGCAGCCGCGTTCCAAAAACACACATGACGTGTGTGAGAGTGTAAAGGGAAATGAGGAGACTGAGGAATATGGCTGTGTTTGTCTCTGCAGCTCTGGTTGTAACAGTAGCTTTAGTTGTTCCACATTCACCGAGAGATCAAATTATGAGGGACAGAATTCTTATTCTTATAAAGGTAGACAAATATTTGGTGAAAATGTTAATTCCATAAATTTCTACAATGGAATAGATTTTTAAGAAATACCCGTTCACTCTCTTATAACTGAGCATTGTGGCATTTTCACTCATTTATATCTGCTGTGCTATCACTCATTTCTTTTTGTGAATCTATGTGTTGTTAGCCAAAGGTAGCTCAAAAGAAAATAAAAAACATTAGCCAACATCAGCTAGAAATGTATAACAGTCCTTAGAACAGTCTGAACAAGGGCAAAGAAAAAAGAAGATTAATTTGGCCATGTCTGGTCTGGTTTGTTATATAGAACAGAATCATACTATTTAAAGTGTTTATGTTACAACAGTAGTGTACAAAAATGAGAGATGAAAAGCAGAGTATGCAGGAATTGTTACCAGCAGTGAACAACTAGCTGTTCATAGAACCTGAAAGAAGAACTTTTTTTTTAGAGACAGGATTAGATTGGTAGAATCAGCAAGAGCGAGGCTTTTATAATCATTAATCATTTCTAATTGGAATAAGTTTTAAAAAAGACATTTAAGACAAAAAAATATTCTAATTGTTGTTTAAGTATCACATTATAGATCGGTGCACAAATACGGCTTCCTGTTAAAAAGTAGGCCCTGAGATGTGATGCTTTTTTTAAACAATCTTCTCAGCAGATGGCATTTCAAATCAATTCTTGCATACTTTGCTTTTTACAATAAAAGGAATAAAAAGTGAAGAAAAGGTGAAGTGGAAGTAATGTTAATAAAAACATCATCGACCTCCTCATCTACATTATAACTTGACAATGACTTCCTTTGTGTGGGTTTTAGTCTTATGTTAACAAATAGGACAAAATACGTGAGGAAAACTTTCTTTTTCTTCTTCTTTCCTGCAGGGACGTAATGGGATTCTTGTTACTTTCGGTTATCTAGCTTTATGAAGAATGTACGTCACTCATACAGCTAGATAACCAAAGATAACAGACAACCCCTCAGGCCTGCAAAAACGCAGCTCCAACACACACACACGCACGCACACACACACACACACACACGTCCTCCGTTGTGTGTGCGTGAACAAACAAAGTGCTAGGAGGACAAATGCCTGTAAAGAGCTAATTCACCACAGCTGAGCTTTGTCCTTCTGTCCACCTACTGTTTTCAACGTTGAAAAGTAATGACGGTAATAGTCATATATATGTGTGTGTGTGTGTGTGTTCGGTGTTAAAAATGAGATGATTTATCATCACACGTCTTCAAGGACGCCTCAGTGAAATGAGATGAAAAACAAGCATGACTAAAGATACACGGGGGGGAAACTGCTGGGAAAACACATTTTCCGAGCTGTTAAGTGTTTTTTTATATGACTGAAATGTGAATGGGCCCTTATAGGGGAAAAAACCAGAGCAGTGGAGCCGAGTGTTTCCACTGGACTAAGGACAACAACAGTAAAGAGCTTTATGAGGCCGTCAGATGAAACAGCACGGAGGGGAATCATTTTCCACAAACACTCCTATAAAGAAAACATTATAGAGGAGTGTGAAAGGGGGAATAGAACACGTGCACTCGTTTCACACTAGGTAAACACTCACTTATGTGCTTTATGAAATCTCTACAGGTGTTTTATTTCTCCAATCTGCTCAGGAACAAATATTCACATCTTTAAATCACAGCTCTGCCTTTTTTTTTTTTAAATCTCCAACCTGAACTTCTCTTTAATCATTAACATTATCTCCCACATTCTTACTGTACAGCTGCTCGACCACTTCTTATTGATGAGACTGTGCTGCGTTTACAGTTTTGTTTTTTTACTGCTGCTGTAAAGACAGTTGTCCTCTCGGAGAGGCGGAGTTAACAATGACTAAACTGAAAATATGGATCTGAAATATTTGTGGGGAAATTTTATTTGTTTTGTAACAAACACTTATTTTTATTAAGAATAGTTGCAGGTCTTTCTGGGTTTATTCTTAATTTTTTTTGTGAAAAAGTGTTACATTTGCTCCAAACTTTAGGATTTCCCTTTTATAATAACATTAAAGCCAGACATTTTCCATGTGTGTATATATTGGGGTAATGTATTATAACTTACTAACTTTATTATAACTAACTTATTATAAAGTTCAGCACTAACTTTTAGCTATCTTTCTGCAAACTATATTTTCTTTTTTTCATGACTAAATCTTTAAATTGTGACTACATTTTGGGTATTCTTAAAATACAAATTACCTCAACTTTTGTTTAACGTTTGTGCAGTGTCAAATGTTTCACTATATGTGTTTATTTAATTAAGTTTGTTTTTCTTTTTTTTAGTAACTGCTTCTTTAGCTAGTGGCCTTTACATGTACAACAATTATCTAACTTTAGTTGTAAATGTTTAAAATGACTTCAGCTCAAACTATAGGTCACTCTCATTAAAAACTATAGATTGAAAATATACATTTCATACTTAAAACACATCCATTCCATAATTAGCATTATACTGTATATGTTGTAATATTGAATCATTTATACTATTGTCATTATTAAGCGCTTAGAGAAAGCGTGACATCACACGCGTCGTAAGCCTTGAGTGAGAGCGTTGTAGCCACACACACACACACACACACACACAGTGAGACAGGCCGCGGCTTCTCACTCGACTACAGTCAAACACACACACACACACAGATCACTTCATGTTTCTGCCAATAAAATGATTAAAACACACTTGTAAAAATATTACTACCTCCACATTGACTAATTACACAGTTTTACGCTCGATTCGTGCACGTCTTTTAAACGTGCATGTAAAACCCTCTTGTAAATGACACACACACACACACAAGTCTCTGGATTTTAGCCAACACTCATCCATTAGAGAAAATCGCTTTGGCCCAGACTCAGGTTTGAACAGCAGTTCACACAGTGTTAGGTTGATTTTAACACATTTACTGCACTGACGACCCTTAGAACAGACGGAGGAACAGTGCACCGATCACCC